TTTTTTGCTGATTCATGTTTATACAATGAATTGATGATTGAAGGCAAGACAGGCTTTCAGGGCATTGAAAGCAATAGTGAGGGTACAAGCGATTTTCCGAGGTAGGCAAGTCAGGAAACAAGCTGCTGTAACGCTAAGGCGTATGCAAGCTCTTGTTCAACCCCAGACTCGTGTTAGGGCCTCTAGTGTATCTGCACAAAGTCGGGATAAACCTACCATTGCATTAGAGGTTTGTGCTATTTAAATTTTCTGTGTTTTTGTTAGATTGGGTATCGAAGCATTTGAAAGCAATCTTTTGAATGTTCATCAGATCCTAGCAAAACATGTGTCTTAGTTGTGACAATCTTTACAGGATATAATATTTCGGACTTAATGAGTTTGTTATTGGGTGATCAGGATGAAGAGAAAGAGAACCCTGATAGCTTGGTTCAGGAGATGATGGATGATGAGGCAGCAAAACATGAACCCACTATAGAAGATGATGTCTCCACACAGAATCAGCATCTGCAGCAAATTCCTACACTCAGTGGATTTGGATTCTAAACATGAACCCACTATAGTGGCAGTCACAATTTCTGCTCAGTGGATTTGGATTCTAATAACCGCGTAATTATAGACAGAGATGATGTTCATCCTAGTAATGTAGCATACTCAGAAAACTCGAAGAGTGTTGACATTGCTGTTAGTCAGGGGGATCCTCTTTCTTCTACTGGTGATGTTTGGCCACCAGTTAGCATGCCAGATTCTTATTATTGGTCTACGTTAAACCATGAATATGCTTTTGCCAGTGAGTTGTCACTCGGGCATTCACAAGTTTTTGAATAGCAACAGGTCCAACTGATTGATCTGGAATCTGACAATTGTGAAGAAGACACAAGGAAAGATCTGTTGCACAGACAATCTAATGATGGGTCTTTCTTCAATCCGTATGCTGACCAAGAAGTCCAAGGCCAAAATGAGGTACTACAACATTTCTACAAGGGTCAGTGGGGTTTACCTTTTCATCACGAGCAGAAACAGACACGGTTAGATTTACAGCCAGCGTCAAATGCTTCAATGGAGATGGGTCAGTTTTGCATCTTTCGCTGCCCGTAGAACTGAGGTAGAAGAGATCGAATGATATACATATGCATCAAAACATTCAGGAGAAGATGTTCACTGATGGAAGTTGGTACACTATTCCAAGGCAAGAACACTTCTCGAATGCCAATACCAATCTTCAGGATTGGGCTATCAATACCAATACCACCCACATGTCAGCACCTCTCCAGTCTCATTTGGATGGTGGAGAGTTGGGTCGGAATTGGTTTTCAGGGGAGCATCGGGTCCGTGGTGGCTGGTCCACTTTGGACACTAATGCTGTTGGCCCAACCCAGACAGGTGGATTTCCAATTTAGAGCTTGGTTGGGAGTTAGGATGCACACAGATGCTGAACACAAGATGCATGTGACAGGAGTTTTTGGGCTCTAATAATTTTTAGGACTAAGGGTCAATCAGGGTTTTCTTAGTAGCTGATGGAATTTTGTACATACATACAGGAGAGCCAATCCAACACCGTATATATATCTAGGTTTTATAGACGGGGAGGAGGTGAGTTGTGAGGATAGTGGAAAGAATCAAGGGATTTCTAGTATCAAGGGGTGAGTCAGTCATAAATATAGTTCCTTTTTCTTTGGGATTTTTTAGTTTATTGAACTAATAAAGGTTGCCATTTTTTTAGTTTATTGGTTTCCCTATTTTGCTTTTGTTTGTTTATATATATTCATTTCTGTCATCCGGATATATGGCAAGATGTATATACATATATATATATATATATATATCCTCTCTTGCTTGACCTGGTTGGTTGGTTGCCCAAATCACAACCACCACCACAAAGACACCACCACCACAATAGAGCAGAGCAACCATCGCATCGCACTGAAATGAAAATATATATTACTCTTCCCTTCCCCGTATTCCCTTTTCCCCAAACCCACACATACGCATATTTGTACCCCCCAAATTCACAACCATACATCACCCACACAAATATATTATTAATAATAAGCTCAATGAATCATGACAGGCCCAGGTGTGATGGGTTTGTTTTGTTTATTCTAAACCATGAATGTAGATTGAAGAATGTTCCAACATTAAGGCCTCGTTTAGGAACAGGCTAATTTAGTAACTTTTTGGCTATTTGGTTAAAAAGGTAGGTAAAAAAAATTTGTATGTTTGGGATGACTTTTTGACTAATTACGAAAAGATGTGCAAAAAGTAGAGAGAAAAGAGAATTTTTGACTTTTTGGTATGGGTTACCTTTTGAGGAGTCTATAGCCCTATTAAGTAGCAAAAATTTCCTTCAATTGTATCTTTCATTCTGTTCTCTCTCTCTCTCTCTCTCTCTCTCTCTCTCCCCACCCCTAGTAAGAAAAATAATACATAACAATGTTAGACTCAGGAATAGGTTCATTTTTCCTGGTGCTTTTCCAATCCAGTGGATGTTTTCCTTGATTAAATTTTGTGTGCTCATTACATTATGGAGAATATCATTAAAAAGGTAATTTTGTAAATGTTTTTGTAGTGTTACAATTTTTTTTTTGAAACATCAACAATAAATTTTATTAAGAAAAGCAATAAAAAAGAGATGATATATGTAGTGTTACAAGTTAATTAGGATATATAATTTGATTAGTGTTTCTAATGACCGAGAGTTATCTTTAGTTTCCAGTTAGCAAAAAAACGAGAGATAATTTAACCATCTTAATTATCTTAGAATATGATTCCCTTTACAAAAAAAATAAAAAAATCTTAGAATACGAGGTTATTTTATTTTCCAGTTAAAACTTCGGAATCTCAATTGTTGAATGATGTTACACATACTTTGACAATATGACTCAACAAGCTTATGATGATGGCTTGTATCTGATTTTAATAAATTTGACATTAGTCATATGGTTGTGATAGAATGGCAGAGCAGATGTGTGTTGGCAGCATTGCTAACCCCTAATAAAAGTGTTTGTTTTGTATTGAGAAATATAATAAATGGTAAGTTTGTCATTTTTTTTTTTTGTTTTGTTTTGTGGTACGTAATATTCAGCTGTGGCATTGGAATTGATCGGACAACTAACTACTTCTTCATGGAGAAAGTGGACATGCTCATTGCACACTTGTGGGCATCGCTTTTGAGAAAGACTAGGTGAGTTAACAGCTGGGACACATCAATAGTATTTGGCCATTATCTTGATCCTTGTGCAAGCAACTTTCACATGTTTAACCGTGACCAGATGTCGGAGAGTTCAGGGCTGTCTGTAAATGCCCTTGAATGTACCTCATCCTGTTAGAATAAGCTGCCATGCCCTTTTTTTTTAATTTTTTTTTATTTTCTGGGGTTGTAAAGCTTGCAGGCTAGAAAGAGTTTTGTCCAGTAAGTCAAATACATGGCGCAAGAAAGATCCGAAAAAAGTTGATGAATTTATTTCTGAAACAGAGCAGGATGACTTATACGTGGAATGGATCCGTTTTCAAAATATGGAACGCAGGTAGCTCAGGTTTTGAATATCATCATCTTGGTCTTGCAGTTTGATAGCTGACAGTCTTTGCTTTGGGGCATTTGTTTCCAGTCTAAACAATATAAAAGATTCTTTCCCCCACCGTTCTCTTGGGCTTCTAAAATGCATTATTCGAAGTTGTTTATGAAAAAAATGAAACTCAAACACATCCCATGTATTGACTAATACTGAATGAGTCCTGAATGTTGGTATTCAGTATCTACAATCTCATCCTGAATTGGCATGGAGTTCTCAAGGTTTTTGATACTTTGTTAGTGCGTATCACATTTTTACTATGAAAAATAGAATGAATTCAAGGAAGCTGATTATAGAAGAATAAAATCTTGCACTTCTTATGTTTTTTGTTAGCACAATCACAAAACCAGGCAAATCTTCCAGTTACATACTCATGCATAGCAGCATTAGGGTACATAGACATCCATGTGCATGCATGCATATCAGTGTGAATCTATTAGAAATGGACCTATGCATTATTTTACTCCCAGACTTGAATTCTTGAATGTTTATGAGAAGTTTGTGACATTTTTATTTTATTTTATCCCAGTTTCCACGATCTTCTGGGCAAGATCACCATTCAAGAACCTACCTTTGATAGGATAATTATTGTTTACAGGTACAAGCTTTCATTTTCCAATTTAAAATCTTGTTTCGATCAGTGTTTTAGATGTTTTTGTTGAAAAAGATCTTCTATTCACCACCAATTTTGGAAGTTGTTTTTTGCTACAAAGTTGAGCATATATGATGTTTTGTTATACAATGTTTGAAAAGTGCGTCCACCTTCAAAATTTCACTGCCACTTTACATATGGGAAAATTAGGGCACTTGAGAAGGGATTAATTGTACATTGGGAAACCATCCATTGATTATTGCCATGGATTTGTTATTTCTAACAACCATGATGACCATGCAGGCGAGCAACTACAAATAGAACAGGACAAGGAATATTTGTGAAGCATTTCAAAAACATTCCAATGGCTGATATGGAATTTGTCGTTGTCAGTTTTTGGCTGCTCTGACTATGTTTTTGGCTGCTCTGACTGTCTCTTTCTCTTTCAGTGATATTTTAACTTTTCTAAAACCTTGTACCTACTTATTAATGTATGAACTCGTGAACTTCTACTCATTAACAGCCAGTAAAGAAAAATCCAGGTTTAATGCCAAAGGGCTGGGTCATATTTCTTGGTTCTGCTATTGTTGGACTGGTTAGTTACCTAATATACACTGTAGGAAAAATGGATTTAGGCGGCGTTTTTTTAACGACGTTTTTTTAAACGTCATTTTTATTCATATTTAATGACGTTTTATAAAAACGTCGCATATTCTCTTAATAAAACGATGCCGTTTTGGAATAGGAGGCGTTTTTAAACGCCTCCAAACACGTTGTGCCTCATGTGCCTATTTTTTAATCTCAGATTACTTTGTTAAGGCTTTTTAAGGCTTTGTAAACCCTTATTTTGAATCCTCATGCCTCTCTCTTGCTCACCCCCAAATGTATCTATACCTTGAGAGCGATTTTGATTCAGAGCAATTTTCTTTGAGATTTATACAGATTCATCAAAGTGATTTCGATTTGAAACTCTGAAGCTCCACTCTCTCTCTCTCTCTCTCTCTCTCTCTCTCGCGCGCGCGATTCATCCTTTGTTCTCTATGATATCGATCTGAAGCTCTGGGAGATTGCGAAGAGAGAAGAGGGGTTGGTTTTGATCGCAGAGGAAGTGATCTCAAGAGAGGCTGTGCTTGATTTCTCAGATCGGTCTTTGAGCGATTTCGATTTTGAGATTCATCTCAGAGCAATTTCGATTTTGAAGTTCTCTCTCTCGATTTCGAAGCTTCACCGTGTGGTATTGGTTTCTCTCTCTCTCTCAAGCTCTTCCTTCCCTTCTCTCTCGATTTGATTATTGAGATCTATTGTTTATTTGTGTTGTGTATGTGTGTGTGTGTGTATATGTATATATAAAAATGTTTCATTTCTTCGTTTTCCCCCCCACTATGTCATTGTTTAGCTTACCTGAAATCTTAGTTACATTTTTTCTAACCTCATGATATGTAAAGTTTTTGTTTCCTTAAGCTCCTCATTTATCACCTCTTCGTGCTTAGCATTTTTTTTTTCTATGAAGAAATGATTGATTGGAAATCTAACAGTATAGATGTTCAGTATTACAATATTATTCTTAACAAGAAGATTTTGAGACTGAAGTGATTGGGCTTTTAAAAACATTTTCCAAGAAGAAGTTGATAATATATTCTCTGGAGTTGTCAAAGGAATGGCACAGAACTGAAATTGGAAACAATCATGTTTTAGAGAAACCATGCAAAATTTTTTATTTTTGGACATCACCTGTAAGGCCAGATAGCAAAATGTTGTATAAGGTAATTCAAAGAGTCAAAATGATGGCTCTATTTGGCTTCCTCATGCCCCATAGACAACTTTATTTTTTAAAATTTTTTCACTTTCTTTTCATGATCTTAGTACTGATACATTTTGGCTTGGTGAATTTTAATGCCTATTAATAAATAAACCACGTTGTTATTGCAGTGGATTCAGTTTCCTCTTGGGATCAATTTATCTAAATCTGAGTCAGGTTGCTAAAGCCACCCAAAATTTTTCACCATCAATGAAGATTGGTGAAGGAGGCTTTGGAACTGTCTACAAGGCCCTGTTACCAAGTGGTCAGGTAGTTGCCATAAAACGAGCAAAGAAGGTAAGCTGCAGTTTCTTCTCATGGCCTAGAATTTACTGTTTCTGCCATATTAATTTTGCTCACAAGATAACATTAATTTCTTGCTACATCTCTAGAAGGAGATGTCGCATTGTGGTTTTATTTCACTAGGAACTGTCTCAGACCAGACAAATCAAAAGTTTAATTGATCTTTGAATTGGAGTTCATGATAGATACGAAGTAGGATGCGGCTGGAATAAGTAAAACAAAGGGCTGATATAATATAGAGGGATCATGTGAGCATTTTAGTTGATCTTTGCAAATCAATAGCTTAGGACAATCACCATGTTAAAACGGTGCCACATGCATTCATCTCATGGAAAATATGCTAGTTATAAAGCCAATATTTCTAGAGAAAAATCTCTAGTTTCTGCAATTAGCACCACTGGTGGTGCAACTATGCACTCTCTAGCAGCACTACTGATGCAGTTGAACCTGGAGTTGGTGGTGTTCCTAGTAGATACCTTGGAACAACGCCTGCTTTTTTATGGCAAACTCAGCTCCAACAAGCACCAATATCCATGGTATGATTCTTTATATGGTGATAGGATAAAACATGTTTTAGACAAATTATCACGTGTTTTTTTTTAATATATATATATATATATATATATTTAATGCAAAATGTATGTGTTGTGGTTTAGATTGTTGTTCACAGTTATGATCCATATTTATATCAATTTTTATTTCTCTCTTCTTGTTCTTATGAGTAAACCCTTTAATAATTTTGATATAGAAGGCCAAAAAAAAAAAAAATCTTATAGTTTCCTTTTAATTGTAGGGCATGGCTGAGTACCAGATGCCACTTTTCCGTGAAATTGATGGTTGTTTAAAAGCTAAATGTGATAGGTTAACAGATGCCTTTGAAATAGATGATATTGGTTTGTCGTAATTACTCTCTATTCTCTCTGTGCACAGATGAAGAGATATTGTGTGCATAATATTACCCATTGTTTGGTGTTGTAGACATTTCATCTGGTAATCAAAGTTCAAGTGCTTGGCTTCCAAAAAGGTTTGTGTACTTGTTTCATTTTGTCATCATTAATGGTGCAAGGTCTGTTTGAATGTCAAGGCTATAATGATATACTTTTTTTTGATTGTTTGAAATTTCAATATAAAGCGGTATAGTCTATATACTTGTCATGATGGTACCATGTTGTGTATGCTTGTTGCCATTTAGCTGAACGTGATTTGAAGCTTTTATAGATTAGATTGGGCAAAGAGACACTTAAAAAAATTTAAGCTTTAAAGTTGTTTCTTCATTTTTTTATCCTTCTTTTACCTATTATTTTTTCTTTTTCAAGTTTTTCATTTGAGTGGAGAGCATTACAAAAATTGTTCTTGAATTTTATTCACTCAGACCTTCTTGTTCTGGAAACGGTTACTGCTGCTTTTCCTTTTCTGTCATTTCAGTTCAAAATGGATACTCAAATATAGATTCATGAGTCTCAAATCTTACCCTTCAAGATGGAAAATATTTTTTCCCCCTTTCTTATTTTTCTTCTTAAAAACATGAACTATGAAAGCTTTCTTTAGATGTCGAGGTGGTTATTCTTTCTTGAAACTGTCTATACCTACTTTTCCAAACTACCTAAAGCAACCATATATCAATTGCTTTGTGTGTACTTTAATAGTCAGAAATGACTTTCTGAGGAGTTCATTTACCTGTAGCTTGTGTGCTTCTCTTTGATCATCTAAATAGGGTAAAGGTAATTATTGAGAAGATTGAGAGGGAAGAGGCAGCACTGAGGGAGGATTTGTATTCCGTGGACAGAAATTTTGTAGAATATTACAATGTATGTGAATATGAGTTCTGATGACTTGAACTTTATCTTTTCTTTGATCAATGCCACCAATTTACATCTTTTGGAAGTGAACATTAACAATTTTGGCTGCAAGTTTCCAGAATACATCGGTAATCTCTTGAGAAACCTTGAATATTTGAATCTAGACCACAATCATATATTCAGAAGCATTCCACCCGGGATTGTAAATCTTGTTGGCTTGCAGAGTTTGAATATGCAGCTTAACCAATTCACTGGTTCTATTCCAAGTGAGATTGGAAAGCTTCAAAATCTATACAGATTGAATCTCGACAACAATTCATTGTCTGGTAACATTCCCTCTTCCCTAGGAAATCTGAGTTTGTTAAGTATATTTGCTTTAAGAATCAATAATTTTCATGGAAGCATTCGTCTGAGCCTAGGGAATCTGAGAAGTCTCTACTTTTGTAGTTTTGTTATAAAAACAACATAATTCAATGATTTTAGTATATGGGATACCTACAGAAGGTTATTTTGTATGTCACTTTTAGAAGGTTATGCAACCAAACATGGATCTCATCTATGGAAGTTAATGATATCATTAACTTATTAACTTCCAAAAATGGAATATTTTCAAGACATAACTCTGATATTGTAAATGGATCTCATCTATGTCTAGATAGGCAATACACTGATATGCAAGGGTCTATGATTAAAAGATCATGTCCCAGAAACTCTGAGTTGCCTTATTTAATGATAAAAATGATTATGCAACCAAACATAGAAACCTTGAACAATCCAATTTTCATTAATAACTTGCTCCTACACTTTAGAGGAACTTGTTGAAGAAGTGCTGGTTTTCTTGGTGAATATTGGTGCAACATTTGCAATTTTTTTGAGATGCCCCTGTTGAAGAAGTGTTGGTTTTCTTCCGGCTTTGCATCATTTAGATGTTTTCTCATATACTTTGATATGCAGGTGGAGGCAATCCAAGTTGATGCTGATGAAGGTGGATTTACACAAACACGTGGTGGCATATATTGGGTGATCTTGCCAGCTGGATGTTGCCCTGCTCATTCCTGATAAATTTTCTTTTTATTGCCCGAATGCAAAACTATTATTTTCATGTGACAAAATGCATTTTTGGAACACGCCAAGCATCCTTGACTTCCATGTTACTGAGTTATAATGCGCCCACATTATTCACCATGTTTGCTCAAGCTTTTTTATATTGTTGTTTTTGATTAACAAGAAGTTTCTTTTGACATTTTCAAACATATCTTTGGAACTGGGTCACATTGTTTTCAATTTCTCACTTTTTTTTTTGTATTGTACTTCTTGTATTATTAAACTTATTTTTAATTTTTAAGTCTTTTTAGATGTTTAATTCAATGCTTTATGCTATCATCTTGTTGATGTTACAGGTTTTGTTGGTGAGTTGCATCCTGACAAGAATAGTGATAACAAGAAGCATGTGCTTTACACACAAAAAAACATTATTGTTAAATACAGCAAGGATCAGGTCCTTTGCTTATGGACCATTTGATTTTTTGGTTGAGAATTGTGAATTCAATTTTTGGATATGTTATTTTGTGGGGCAATGTTAAAACATCATTTGTGAATATGTTATTTTGTGGATAATGGTGATTGGATATTAAATTGAATGGGAAAGTGAATTAATGTTGCATTTACTATTTGAATGGGAATTATTATTTCATATTAGTGCTATTTAGTTTTATTACAGGTATTTTTTTAGTTCAATCACATAAAATTAGCATAATTTTTTTTTTAAAAAAAAAAAGAGAAGATGTGACGGCATTTTAAAAACGTCGCTAAAATTATAATGACGTCATAATACCGTTAGGGTGGGACATTTGGTGATATTTTTAAAAACGCCGCCTATAGTAATATAGCGACGTTTTTTAAACGTCATAAAGTTATAGCGACGGTCGCATTGTCGGCGTTAGGTACTAAACGTCACAAAAAGAATTAGCGACGTTTATTGTACTTATAGTGGCGTTTTTTAAACGCTGCTAAATGTCCTTTTTCTAGCAGTGATATATGGAACTTGTTTCCTACTCATCCTTTATCCATTTTGTTTAGATAAACATACCATGTTTTTCTACAAGTTGCAATTGTGGGTTCGCTCGACATGCCTAAAGCTGATCTTTGGGCCATATTCACCATCCTTTGAACTGTGATTGGTTACTGTGCTAAGACATACTTCACGTAAAGTGTTTGCAGTATTTGATTTTGATTCATGTGGATATGTATTGTTCATTGAGCAAACATGCATGTTGTCTGCGTGATCTACCATGTGATGGATCTGCTTGAGAATTGTCTTGTATAACAAGTTGATCTAGTCAAATGCATATTTAGTTTTCTATATATTTCATGTTCTTTCCACCTACTGTTATAGTGGACGAGTGAGTCAGATCAGGGAAACTCCTGCTGTAGGATTTCTTCTTGGTTAGAGCCACTGCTTCATGCATTTGGCTTGGAGCTGTGATTGCATGTGCTCTGTACATGTCATAAGCAACCTGTATTTATATAATAATCATGCTTTTTCCTTTGTCATTGCTTTGTTCTTCGTCCTTTAAAGTCTGTTGATCTCATAGGTATTAATTTACCAAATGTTTCAACTGCCTGTAGGTTTCAGCAAAATATGGCTACATATCAGAACTTAATTACTCAGTCCATGTATGACAAACAACTGGATAGTGGAAAGGGCACTCTTCTTCACTTGTGTGATGACGTGATTCAACAAGAAGTAAGTTGCTAGCTAGAAATTTGCTTCTTTATTATTATTTTTTTTTCTCCCCCTACTTGAAGAATTGACAACAATGACTTTTTTATTCTCTCCTTTCTCTTATGTGTCTTCTTTTTCTCTGTTTCCGCCACCTTGTCATTTCCCTTTCCTCCCTCCACCCTTGTTGCCACAGCCCTTCCATAGCCCAGTCGCTTCCCCCTTTCTCCTCCCCAGCTCTGTCGCAGCTCCCTCTCCCCTCCCCCACCCTGTTGCTACCCCCACACCTAAATTACCAATAGTTCCTAATAGTTAAACTTAATTATCATCAAATTCTATTGAAAATAAGTCTTGGTAAAATTATCGTTAAAAATATTTTTTTTGTGACAATTTTTTATATACGTCGCTAAAAAGTGACAATTAGTGACTTTTTTTCATGATTTTTATAAATTGTCACTAAAAATTACAATTAGTGACATTTTTTTTATGACATTTTTCCCATAGGACCTATTAGATAATAAGTCCACTTATTAGGACCTATACGTAAATACCCTTCCTCCCTCCCTCCTTCCTCCTCAACTCATATTGCTGTAAAAGAACAAATCAAAACCCAAATCAAAAAGAAAAGAAAAGTCAAAACTCAAATTCTAGCTTTGGTTGCAGAGTGCACATTGAGACTACAGAGTTACAGAGAGCCAAGTGAGAAAAAAAGAATCAAAAAGGGAGAAATGCGTAAGGGAAAAAAATGCAATTTTAAATATTAAGTAATTCAGATAAAAATAAAAAATATCAAGTATTAGTTTTTCGAATGATTGAGATAGAAAACATCAAATTTTCAACTTTGGTATTTTACTCCCTAGGTTGTAGTGTTACAAATCAAACCACGGGGAGTAAAGTGTTATTCACTCCAAAATTAATTTGCATCACCTGTGTCAAAATTATTAGAACTTCACACAGTCAACTAGTAAACTATCTGAAACTTACCTAAGCTAGTTCAGAAATATACAGTGTCTAAACTGTGGTTTAAAAGGGAATTTAGATCAGTGTTCCATCATTACTAAGTTTTCATTGAAGCTTTTAATTGTATGGATCATTGGATGAATCTTGAATCTGATTCAACAAGGCTTGCTAGTCAATCAAGAATTTCTCAACCTTGATGTAAGTTATTGCACAAAGCCAGTTGCTCATAGAATCTTGTTATTTGAATGTACAGGTAAAAGAGGTAATCATTTCATTTTTTATATTGATGGAACAGGGCAAAGCTACTCGACAGGTATTTTACATTACTTCCTTGTTGCCTTTTGCAATGTTCATTTACCGATTCCAGTATTTTCTACAAAATTGTTGATGCATGACTCGTGATACTGTGAAATAGGATCTTGACCTGCGGTGTGAAGAACTAATCAAGGAAGAATTTGGTGAGAGATGTAATTTTGATGTGGATGATGCAGTTTAGAAGCAAGAGAAATTAGGCATTGTTGCTCGGGTGAGATCATCCTTTTCTCCTTCCTGGTAACGTGGGTGATACTGGAATTAATATGTTTATTCTCTCTTCAATTCAAATGAATTTTTGTTAGTTTAACACTAGTAAGGGGATGCACTGAGCGGAAACGCTACCCTCCCAAGGGATCTAGCTTTGCTAGACATGTGATTTGTTCATTGAACTGGATGAATTATGGCCCTAGTGTGATGCTTTATCTCTGCCTATGGTACACGTACGATGTACGTTTTTGTAGTTACATACAGATAATTTGATAATATTACTCTCCGCAGGATAGAGTTTCAGTAAAGCATTCTCTATGCAAATCCTAATTGATACCTACTGACCTAAATATCGTTGTTAGATTTTTTTTTTTGTGGTTTTGTTCTTTTGATGAGAGTGTAATATTTCAATACAGGATTCAATTGGAAGATATTACTGTGTCAGTCTTAAGCGTGCTAATGAGATCATTGGCACCACCGTTGAGGACCTTGTTCTTAAGGGTAATCAGAGTGCTATTGCTCCTTGATGTTATTTTGGGAACCTAAGTTGTTGTTGCTACTGCTGTTGCTCCCATGTTTGGCTGAGAGAGTGCTTTGAAATTCTCTACCTAAGATCTCCATATGCAATGCAACAATCATCCTGCTCTCGAGCACCAGATGGATGTGTGCTTAGGGTTTGTTTTCTTTTTCACTAGTCCATTATTATATGTAAGGCTTTTAGAGTGAGCTTTTCGTCCCTTTTTCTCTTTATAAATTTATTTATCATTTAATTTTTCGTTTACATTGTCTGCTTGACTTTCCAAGGTGTCCTAAATAATGTAAATGTTTATGTTGCCATTTTATGGGAAAACCTTTTCAATAACACAGATTCAAGAGCATTTGATTAAGTTTTTACTTGCAAGGTGTAAATATAGTCTTCTTTTCTTGTTTTTATTGGGAAGTAAATTAATTATTTGTATCAAGTATTATGTGGCCCACTACCAAGCTTTCCCTAATGGATTCATAATCCTGTTGTCAGATGGTTAATGATATTGATATATGGTGGTGATTGAGTTGGTAGTAGTAAAAAGGTCCAGTTTCTTACAATCCCATCCCTCAAACTTCAAAGATGATGTTTTATTATGGAGAGGGATTGTATGTGCCAGTATCCATATTTATTCCTCTGGTGGTTTAGAGATGGTGTTGAGAGAGTATTGTTTTCCAACTCATAAATTATACCAAGAAAGTTATGCAAATTGAATAATATAAGATGTGTTATTATATACAATGTTTCCAGTGTACTATCAATTCAAAATTGCTGAACCACATGAATTGGCAACTCAAATTAAGCAGCAACGAACAAGTGCAGTATATTTGTAGCCCCACTGAATTCAACATGAAAACAGAATGTCCAACTACTAATTGGTTTTACACTGCCAATACCGACATAAGGCTTCCTATATGCTCTGCTGCCTCAACAACATGCTGATTGATTCTGCAAAAGGAAAAAGGTGCATGAGGTAGCTTATCACTTTGATCAAAAGCAAAGAAAATGGGAAAGTTTAATGCAAATTGCATGCAACCTTAAGTCATGTGAAGAACCACCAAACCATGATGCTTAGTGATGAAAGCTCCATGTGTGTGAGTTACGTTACCTGTAAAAAACAAAAAGTTACTAGAGAACAAGATATCAGTGATTAATGCAAAAGCCATCAAGCAGGGCTTTAGATTAACACTACACTAACTGTTGCATTCTTGAAGGTTAGCCATGCTTCTCAGATAACATTCTAGCTAGCATGCCCATGAGGTCACATGCATACACATTACGCATATTGCAAAATATATAGATTGCAAAACATGAAAATTGAGGACAGGACAAGTCAAGAATAGTTGTTTGGTAGATTGAGAAAATTGGGTAGTCTCTAGAGTAATTGGATGTAATACATTAATTATCATATCTATGGGCACTATTGCAGAAATGGATTTCAAGTTATAGGTTCCAGTCAAAGATGCAAATGTCTGATTCTCTGCTATTGACCAAGAAGATGCATTTAACTGTGTTTCACACTTTAAAATTCTGCAGAAATTTTGAAACCAAAAAAAATAAATATACAAGATTATATTTCTGAAAATGAAGTTTGATGATATGAATAATGAAGTATTAAGTTGAAGCCAAGAAATATATTTGCAATTCTAGAATCAGAAGAAAGATATGATAATGATTAAACCCATCAACGAATGACCTGACCTCAGTAGCATAGATGTCACGACCCAAACCCGCCCTTAAGGGTTTAACATCGTAACCGGCCAGTAATCCGTTATTACCAAAGGCCTGCTTAACAGTAATGACAATAATACAGTATAATGGGGCTGGCGGAAGCCAATCAATAATAAAAAAAAGATGTCCAATGAGCTGTGAAAACCTGAATGGGAAAAAGCTTCCATGCACATAGCTATAGACATATGCCAAAAATACATGTACATTGTAGCATACGGGTTAGGGACATAACCCCTTTAACATAACTGTACAGTCAAAGTCTTAAACATTCTTTACATTAACAGGGACAAAAAGGGTAAATCTGAAACACCGCAAAACAGCCTTGACTCGTGTAGGTTCGGAGCCTCAACATAAGGTGCAATGGTTGGCTTGACAAAACATGAATCTAAGTCGGCGCCTCTAGCTCTGGTCCGGTCAGTGGCCACCTACATTTATATATATATATATATAAACTGTGAGCTAAAGCCCAGTGAATAACAAATGTGTAAAGAGGTTCAGAATGATGTCCTTACAATCTTTAAAACAACCGATTAGCATTAGAACATTTTCAATCAATATCATTTGTCATTCAATCACTCCATTCGATCAAGTTGATCCATCATATTCGTTAAGTTATACGTGGTACATCCAATAGCAACAATACACTAGGTCTTAAAAGACAGAACAATCAATTGATGGCCGTCATACAATAATAATGGTTCTAAGATTTGGAACTGACAGAGATCTCTGCAACAATAACGATAACAATATCAATAACAATAGCAATATACTATGGATGCCACGAATACAGTTCAAAATAGGATCATCATGCAATTGATAAAAAGTATCATTTCAGAAAGCAATATGATTTATCAATCAGAAAATAAATACGATTGAACATATCTTTACAACAATGTTACTCACAGATAACAGGGCTGTAAGCGGGCTATTCAGCTTCCTTGAGGCCCGCACCCTACACAGTTACAGGATGGACACACACCTAATCACACATCCGGAATTAATAACTTAGCCCCTTGCTTGTTTTGGTGTGGTTCTAAATCATTATCCTTATTATGATGCCTTACACATAGCCTAGGAATGCCTAGGATGGAATGCGGATACAAAGATGTACTCAAATACATTTTTCAAAACTTGCTGAAAGCAGGGGTCTCGCTCGAGCGTGGCTTCCTTCGCTCGAGCGGACATGCAGAATGTGCTTGGTCACTCGAGCGTAGACTCCTTCGCTCGAGCGATCTGTAAAAATATGGAAAGTACTGGTTGTTGAAAATCTCCGCTCGATGCTCGCTCGAGTGTGAGACACAGTTCTTCACTCAGTGCAAGTCTTGTCGCTCGCGCCTGCTTCTGCACACGCAAAAACCTAAGAGCTTGTAATTTATGCTCGAGCCAGCATTCCGTCGCTCGAGCGCAAGTCTGAAAATAAGGGTGGTCGCTTGAGCGTGGAATCCCTCGCTCGAGCGAGGAAGCCAAATTCTGGGTTTTCCAAATTTGATCCCAAACCTCAATCCATGGGTTTAATATGCCAAAACTCATCATTTTGGGCCAATTCTCCGGAAAATACTTAAAAACTCATAACACAACATGTTTTGAAAATCATTTCATAAAATCAAAGCCCAAAAGTATGCCAATTGTACACAAAATCAACTTGAGAAGGAAGAACATGGTGTAATTATGTCATGCATGTACTTATTTGAATTCATGACTTCCAACACATGATCATATGAGCTATTATTTCCAAAATCATGATGAATTCTTAGATTACAACTATAATATGAACATGCATGTGTGAATTTCATGAAAACAACTTCAAAATTCCATTCCATGGACATGCATGCATGAATTGATTCTCAAATCTACTCCTTAGGCTATTTCTTGACTTTAGTCTCCAATTTCTCCATAAACCATGCATAAACAATTTAAATTCACAATTAAGAGGGTGAATTCCTACCTTAAGTCTTGAATTCCCAAGTGTAGTAGCTCAATTTTGCAAGTCCTCTTCAATTTCTTCTAAGTTTCAAACAATTGCGTAGTTGAATCCAATTCTCCTTCTACTCTCTCTCTCTCTCTCTCTCTCTCTCTCACGGTTTGTACAAGAAAAATGAGGCTAATGGTGTGTCAAATAAGCATGAAGACAAATGGTCTTGTAAGACCCACTAATGGTAACCATGTAATTTAACTTAACTTAAATTAATTAGCATTATAAATTTTAATTTAATCATCCCAAATCGAATTTCAATTATACTTACCATAAAATTCTATAATTCCCAATTATCATATAACACCAATCAATTTCTGAATCGGTCGCCGATAAGGCTTTCAATTCGCAACTCGAAATTAAAACGTGAACAGATCATTCTATATCGAACAGATAGAAATACAATTAGACAACACACTCACATAATCAATTTGAGATTTCATTTTAATCATTTACTTAGCATGCTTAATCATGAATTAATGCTAATCATAGGCCAGGGTTGTTACAATAGACAAAGCATGATGACCTTCTTATTATTGTCCAATACCAGGTATTGATAAAAAGGTGATCGTTTTTTAGGAATTAAGCCGCTTCAGTTTCTCAAGGACTTGATTCATTGATGGGCGAATAGAAAGCGATTCCACTGTGCAGATGATGTAAGTCTCAAAATCCCCAACAAACTCTCTTTAGGCCTAGCTTCCCACAATTCTAGGGAGAAGAGCTCAGAAGAACATCCCTTCTTGATTAGCAATTTAGCCCATGCAACAATATTGAACCCATTACCATACTTAGAAAATGATGGATTGAGGGATTGCTTTCATGACATCAGTTCCAAGAGTATAACCCCAAAACTATAAGCATCTGCCTTGTCAGAAACCCTGCAAGTGGTTGCATATTCTGGTGCAACATACCCAAATGCGCTTGTTATAACTGTGGTAGCATGGGTCTCAAAAACTTCTAGAAGCTGAGCTAATCTAAAGTCTAACAGGTATGCATTAAACTCCTCATAAAGTAAGATGTTGCTAGGCTTGATGTCATGATGAACTATGCGGGAAACACAAGAGTAATGAAGGAAAGACAAAGCTTGGGCCATGTCAATAGCTATCTTGTGGATCACTGACCATTCTACATTGTTGCCTGACCTTTCATGTATGAAGGTTTCAAGATTTCCACTAGAAAGATAGTTGTAAATCAAGAACATCTCAGTTTCTCCCACGTAGTACCCAATGAGACTCACAAGGTTCTTATGCCGAATTTTCTTTCTAAAGGTCGTATCTCTGCATTAAACTGCCGAATGCCTTGAAATCTACCAATTGAGAGCCTCTTCACAACTGCAAGGAAGCTTGGGTCCAATTCTACCTTGTAAGTTGACCCAAAGCCTCCTGTGCCAATTAGGTTGCGGATACTGAAATTCTCAATTGCTCTAACCACGTTGTCGTAATTTAGTTTAGTTGGAGCATATGCAAAGGTCACTACAACTTTCTTTTTCAGGCTAGTGAGTCTACTAAGCTTTCTCTTTCCAATAAGGAGGAAAAGAACTATAACTACTAAGACAAAAAGCACAAAAGATGCAGAAATGGCCATCATTATTACAAAAGACTTCAGTTTACTTAGATTGTGCCACTTCTGAACTTGAAGTGGGACTAGAAGCCCAGTTAGTGGTGCTGAGTACCAGTTCGGCACAAACTTAAAAATCATTTCCTTCCAAAACAATTAGAATCATTTGCGTGCTAAAGATGATGTATATGACCTGAAAGGTTATTGAAAGAAAGATCTAGTTGAATAAGAAGCTTTGAAAAAGATGCAGGTTCCTCCCCAGAAAGCCTGTTGTGATCCAGCAACACAACTTGAAAGCATTGGCTAAGCTTCCAAGGATGGATCCAGTTAGGGCATTTTGAGAGAGATCCAAAACCATAAGAGAAGTTAATTGATCAAGTTGAGTTGGGATTTCTCCAGTCAAATTGTTGTCTTGGAGAGAAATCAACTCCAAATCCTTAAACTCTCCCAACAGAATAGAAAGGGATCCAGACAGCAAGTTTCTACTTAAATTGAGAAATTGAAGCATCTTTCAAGATGCTAATCTTGGGAGGTATTGACCCATCAATACGGTTCTGTGCTGCTTCAAAAACAGTTAAATATATGCAATCAAGGAGCAACTTTGGGCATAGTGCACCAGATATTTGGTTAGTACTCAAGTTAACTAAAAAGCTCTGCAGATCATTACAGTTTGAAAACAGCACTCTTGGAAGAGACCCATTAAACATATTATTGTTCACCAACAATCTGTATGAGGTCTTACCAATGGCCAGGAAGAACTTATTCGTAAATGAGAAGAAAGACAGAGAACCAGAGAAGCCATTCCAACTAAAATCATGAACGACCATAGATAAATGATCATCTAAGTCGGATTCGAAGAAGATGTTCATCTAAGAACCTCAAATAGGTATGTTAGAGTAGGCTTTCTAAACATCTTCCTCATATAACAAGTTAGGATCTTTCCCACATGAAATCTTGCTAATATCACAACTAGTGTTGTTGCTAAATCTTGGAAGTAGACCTAACAATGAATTTCTGCTGATATTGAAATACACCATACATAGAACTTGTAGCTGCCAAAGAAGGTACCCTTGTAAACCATTTTAACTCAAATACCAGTGAAATTTTTGCACGCTGCTACCATATTCTGAGGTAGGTCACCAGTAAAATAATTTTGCTCCAGATTGACTACGCTCAGGGATCAATAAAAGGTATTATTGTTATTATCGCTCCTCTAGTTATCAGGCAACCTACCCTTGAGATTTGCCTTTGGCGCCCAAAATATATGAAGGTTTGGAAGCAACAACACCTCATAAGGTATACCATGGTCAAAGGCATTGAATTCTCCAACACTACAACCACCACTGGCAGTGGAGGAGCTATTTTGGTCGGATTGGGGATTAACCAAATTGGTCAACATGATAAAAGAAAGCTTTCGGCAGTTGGCTAGTTGTGTAGGAAACCTATCGGTGATACTATTTATGGAAACGTCAAGAATTTGGAGTTGGTGAATTTGGCCTAACTCGAGAGGAATAGGACCTTGGAAAATGTTTCCATCGAGCAAAAAGGTTCTCAAGTTGGAGCATTTGCCGATAATAGAAGGAATAGCTCTGACAAAATAGTTATTAGTGAGCTTCAAATGATTGAGAGACTCATATTTAGATATAGCATCAAATTTATGGAGATCAATTGGACTTGAAAGCTGATTATTGGAGCAATCAAGAGTATTTACTTTGGCGAAACCAATCAAAGTATCCGAAATAAGACCGGAGAACGTATCATAAGATAAATTAAGGAAGTGGAGATAGGAGAGGTATGTTATCTGATAAGGAATGCATCCGGAGAAATTCTTTCCTTGGAGCTCAAGGATTTGCAAAGACCGAATGTTGTCGATTTGAGATGGAATCAAACCGGAGAGTAGATTGTGGGGAAGGGAGAAAGTGTGAAGCTCAGGTAGGTTTCCAATACAAAGGGAAAGGGTTTCGAAGAGGGAGGGAAATAGGGGAACGTGAGAAAGTGATGTTAATAGCAATAACTCTTTCGGAGGTAGAGTCGCGGTGGATACCATACTAGTTGCAATGGTTGTTGTTGTTGTTGTTGGTAGAAGAAGAGTTAGAGTTAGGGTTTCAATTCCAGTTCCAGTTAGAGAGAAAGTAATGCAAGAATTTGTTCTTAATTAGGCAGTCATTGATTATATTTTGTTTGGTTTGTAAAAAATAGGTTGAAAGTGATTCAGAAAGATTGACTGGTATGAGTCCAAAATTATGATTGTGATTCATAAAGTTTTGGGCCATGGTCTATCTTGGTGTGTTTATTATTTTATAGGTGAACATGTGATATGGAAGTGTAAGGCCTGTTTTAGTAGTTATTTTATTTAGGCCCAGTCCCATCTCATATCCTTAGGATTTATATATATCTATATATATGTAGATCAAAGGGTTGTTAGCCCCGTTAAAAAACAACATAAAGATTAGGAGGAGGAGAAGAATTGGTGCTATGGTTTTCCGATTGTGAATACCCCCTAACACCACACCACGACTGCCATCACATAGCCAAACACATGAAAATATTTTCTTCGAAAGATATTTTTTGACAAAATCAATTCTGTAAAATATAGTTTTAGTTCGAAAATATTTTTGGTCAAAACAAGCCAAATGAAACGTCAATAAATGCCAGAACACTTGAATGTTATGTTTAGATTATGAATTTTACTAGAAATTTAAAAAGAAAAAGAGAAAATATATAAACAACATGAATGAAATATAAGTTAATTTTTATTTATTTTTTAAATCTATATTTAAATTTATAACCTAAATACCATGAAAATGAAATATTATGTATGAAGCTTATAAATAGTATATTAAATGTTTGTTGTTGTTTTTGTGCAAAGTGTGCAGTAGACGATGATGAACCACCGGTGTGGAATTGAAGTCAAGGTCCATGAGACTTTCCCAAACAGAGTCTGGAATCAACTGAGACTAACAATTTTGATTCCCAGTGAATGATGAATTCCTTCACATAATATATATAACTTTTGCTCTCTTTTCTTTTTATATTTGCTTTTTTATCTTTTTCTTTATTTTTTGCTCTTTAGTATGACACAAATGAGAGGAGATGAAGAGATAGAAGAAGTAAAAAATAAGGTTTTTTATTTTATTTATTTTTATTTTTTTCAATGGTTAAAGAAATGAAGAGACTTGAATTTTAGGAATATTCTTAAATTGAATTGTATAGCTGTTAGCACCATAAATCTGCAATTTTATTATTATTTATTATTTATATAATTGCAGGACATGTGGCATCCTCCTACTCATTTAGAGGTTATGAGAAGTTATGAAATATGACAAGATGATAGAGAATTAAATGGAGAACATGGAGAATGAATTGGAGGTTAAAGGAAGTTATGAAGACATGGAAGGATATGTGGTATTGTGGGAATGAAGATGGAAAAGTGGGTAGTTTTAGGTGGTTATTGGGTAGTTATTTCCTACAAATATTTGCCTATAAATAGTCATTCATGGCTACATTATAAAGGATCCAGAATTCAAATCAAAGACAATTGATTTCAATATTTCTTGTAATTTTCCTGATCTTAGGAGTAGTTTAACATAGATTTATAGTTCGAAGTATTTATTTTCAGCACTTCCTTTTCAAAGTATAGGAGTAGAGGTAAGTAATTATTCCTTTGATTGTTCACTCAATCATTTTTCTTCGTCTCCCTCAGTCTTCGTTTAATTTTTCTTTTCTCTACACTTTGGCAATTTTGAAGTCTTCTTTGTTGAGGCAAAAGAACCGTCAACACAATTGCTTGATAATTGGCTTGAATTTAATCTGTAAGGATTTTTCAATCCTTGCTGGCACACTCGTATTTATGATATTTTCCTTCTTAGGAAAAATAAGACAACAATTTTTGGCATGCTCGGTGGGACTGCCAAGTGTAAGAAATGACAAACAATTTAGATTTCGCCATTCGAACTTGTCAATATGAAATATATTGGCGTGAAAGAAAAATTTTGGATCTTCAAGAAAGATCCATTTTCTCGATGAAAAAAATTTCCAAGTTGTTTCTTCATTACCATATTATTTGGTAAAACAAAAAATACACCACTTAAATTGAGTAACTCATCAACTTGATGTAAAAATTTGCCAATGGAGACATGAGTTATTAACCCTTTTTGTCAAGTCTTTAATGACTGAATTTTGTGGGGTTTTACAAAATGTTTTTAAGTCATTTGTGACTGAAATTAGTGAAAATATAATTTCATCAATGGCTCGGGGAGTCGAAAAACCCATTTTAAAAAAGCCAACTTATGAAAATAACTTTGATAAAAAATATGTTGTTGAGCCAACCATGGTTAAAAATGATGTTCCATATAGAGCTCGGGGGGTTGAAAAAATCATTCTTAGAGAGTCAAATCATGGAAACAACATGTCTATGAAGGATTTTCATAAGCCATTAATGGCTAAAATGGAACAACCCATTAGGCCAAAAAATGATGAAACTCACAAAGAGGGTTATCATAAGCCTTTAGTGGCTAAAATAGAAAAACAGCCCCATTTGTCAATAAATGATGAAAATTATTTGGCTAAAGAACATGCTCTCAACCCAAACATGGCTAAGAATGATGAACAATTTAATGTTCATGAATTTGAATTTTTTGAAATTGTTCAAAATGTCAAGTTGTTTGAATTTTTAAGGCCATCTTATACTATGGTTCGTGTTGTTCAAAACCTGCTTTGGATTTGTGGATCACACCAAAATATAATTCTGATGATATGCCTAATAAAATTAACAAATTGTTCTTATGAGTTTGAAGCATTAAGAACAGGGGATAACTATTTAAAATGCATGAACTAGGCTAGGAAAAGCCTATGCATTTAAATAAGTGGTTGAGAATGGCTTATCTTTTCAAATTGATGGCCAGTTGTTTGTATGTACACAATCAAAGCATCAAAGATACATTCGAAGCATCAAGAGTTGCTTTGAAGGTTGATTACTTCACCTTCGAAGTTGTATAAAGCTTTGAAGATACATTCGAAGCATCAAG